CCATGAATCTTGACACTGAAAACCTCAGTTGAAAGTGCCTCTAGTTTCTGTCTCCTCACGCCTTATATGCCTTTCTCTGCCCAGCCATTTCACTTCCTTCCTAGTGATGGGAGTAACGGCTTGTGTGCTTCCCAAATACTGGAAGCAAATGCATGAGATCTCAAATGCTGGGACTAAGGGTCTGTGCCACTCCTTTTCTGGCTCTGTTGCTCTCCTAGACTGAGTCAATCTTTCATGTAGTCCATGGTGGCTTTGAACTCAGATCCAGATGGGTCTCTGCCTCCCAAATGCTAGGATTAAAGGTCAGTGCCACAACTGCCTGGCCTCTATGTTTAATCCAGTGGCTGGATCTGTCTTCTGATCCTCAGGCAATCTTTATTTGATACACAATGTATCATGACACTCTCCTCCTGCACCATGCAATAATGGACTAAACTCTGAACAATGAAGTGTTTTCCTTGATTTCCAATGAAGTGTTTTCCTTGATAAGAGTTGCTGTGGGAGGCTGTCGAGATGGCTCACAGGTCAAGAACACAGGCTGTTCTTCCAGAGGTCCTGAGTTCAATTCCCAGTAATCACTTGGTGGCTCGCAACCACCTGTAATGAGATCTAGTGCCCTCTTCTGGCCTGTAGACATACATGCAGGCAGAACATTGTATACATAATAAATCTTTAAAAACTTCTTATGCTCATGGTGTCTCTTCACAGCAATAAAACTCTAAGACAACCACCATGCCCAGTTTCATGCATTGTTGAAGACTGAGCTCAGGCCTCATGCATGCTAGCCAAGCTTCCTACCACTGAATTCTATCTCCAGCCCTTTGTGTTCCTTTTATGTTTGTTTCGAACACAAGCATGTTGTAGCCATCCTGACAGGAATGAACATACTCTAAAGAGACATTTGTGCCCACTCTGTGGGGGACGACCCTGGAAATGGCTGGAGGGCTAGAGAAGGCCTTGTGCCTGAGAGTACACAGGGAAGAGTTTTACATGACCAGTGGTGTGCCTAGGCTAAGCTGGCTGCCCAGAAGGAGCTTGCTTAAGTTAGGTCAGACTTGGCAAGTAGCTTTGATACAAGAGAGGACGAGACTGGCGTGCTGGTTCCCCGTTTCCTATGGCTGTCATGGTGGGATACCGGAAGGAAAGGATCCAAATCAGCCCCTTATGCTGTCAGGATCCTCACAGGGATGCAGCATGGGGCGATCCATTTCCTTCCTGTTGGACACCGAGCCACTTCATCAGTCCTGAGGGAATTTTGGGGTCCCATCTGTCCTCATTTTCCTATTGTTGGGGTGGGGGAACAGCCTTACCCACCTCACCAGACTTGGTTGTACTTTCAGGGTTACTTAATGGGAAGAGATTTTCCAGCTAAGGTAGGAGCTTTCATTTCATTTGCTCCCTCCATGTGCCTCCCTCCAGACCGGTCAGCAGTGCTTCCCATGCACAGGGACACAGACAGGGCCCTGCTCTCTCTCAAGTTCCGGAGGACATCAGGACCCACTACCTTGTCACCAATTCCAGAAAAATGAGTGCTCACCCCACAAGCTTTTCTCTTCAGGGTTCCTTCTTCTAATTAACTACTCAGCTAATTGTTACAGGATCACCATAGAGCTGGAGTCCAAGGATCATCAGATATACACCCAAGTGGTAAGGAACAGTAACAGTTAAAAGGTATTTACACCCTCAGACCAAAAAGGGTCTGGGCTCTGCAAAACAAACAACAAACAAAAACAACAACAACAACAACAACAAAAAAAAACCCAGAATTTTATATATTCATCTATTACTGTTAAATGCTCTTAACAATTGATCACCTGTGTCTCCTGGATGCTAAACTAATGAAATAGGTGCCTTAAATAATCTGTCTCTGATAAGGCTTATCTCAGGTAAAAATTAAAGACATGTTCCATCCAATCTCTCTCTCTCTCTCTCTCTCTCTCTCTCTCTCTCTCTCTCTCTCTCTCTCTCTC